AGTTAGAGCGGAACGGTGCCTTGAACTATATCCACATCAGAAATACATCTGCACACGACTGGCATGCACATCAGTCAAGGCGATTGCCAGTGAATCCCGGAGAACTCAATACAGCATCTTGACTTTCATCGGTTGAAATGATAGCTAGATGCGGTATTTCCCGAGTCGTGCGCGCAAGTCTTGACGTGGCGAAGGCTCCCACAATCCAGAAGGAACGTTAGCATGAGAATCCTACGAATCCTGTCTAGCCCTTAACGCTCTAGAATTGAAGATGAGAAGGGGTTTGTAAACTTGTAAATAAGAAGAAAAAAGAAAAACGTATACTGTCGCATTTCTTGTCATAATGACAGCATTAAAGTTGGCCCTCGCTGATTTGAGTGGCATATGGTTCAAGACTTACTGGGACATTTCGTTAGCATTTGCAACAAGAAGTGACCTGGAAGTAGCATAAGTGTAAGTTTGGCCGCAAGGGAATGTTTGGAGCCATTGAATGACAATTTCGAAGCGGTACTAATATCACAAATTATAAAACCTCTCAGGTAGTAAGTCCAAACAGATTCTTTTCCTTTCCTAAGCAGTCGAGGTTTTTTAGTCGTCACGGTGAGAAACAAAGGGTGAGTGGCGGGATTCCGTGATCGTTGATACCACGTGAACCAATCTGCTCTTTACCTCTCCCCCCAATCACTGTGACTTTGTAAATTGCAATGGCTATCTCCTTGGCCAGTGCATGTCGAATGCTCAAGAAATGTAGGCCGACCTATCCAGAACAGTCTCTGGAAACTTTCCGTTAATACCACTGCTACTTGCTTGGACTATGTAACAGGTCGAATGTTTTTGTGAGTGCCCCAAGCCAATCATCGTCCAATTGAAAGACCAATAACCTGCCTCACAGTTTGATATATCTATTCAAGGCCAGCCTGCTGGACGGATTGTCTTCGAACTGTACGACGATATCGTCCCACGGACAGCTAAAAATTTTCGTGAGCTAGCGACTGGCCAGTATGGGTTCGGTTATGCTGGCAGTACCTTCCATCGCATCCTCCCCAAAGTATTTTCATCCTTCTAGGCGAATCATCATTTCGCTCATATTTTCTATCAGTTCATGTTACAGGGAGGTGACTTTACTGCTCATAATGGGACCGGCGGGCACTCGATTTACGGACATGGCCGGTTTCCTGGTAAACATTCATCCTATGCTCGAACGTTGCCTGTTATCGATACGCAAACTTCCGCTCGTCAGACGAAAACTTCCGATGCTCTCACTCAGAACCTGGTCTTCTTTCGATGGCCAACTCTGGACCTAATACAAATGGATCACAGGTAGCTTGAATTTTCCGTACATTCGTATCGCTACCTAATTCGCTGATTTCATTTTCCATCTGCTTCCCGAACTTGGATAGTTCTTCATCACTACAGTAGCAACAAGATGGGTGAGCGCTTCCGAACTTCTGGAAAGATAGAAGGACTGAAATGTAAACCTTCCTAGTTGGACGGCCGCCATGTTGTATTTGGGGAGGTTGTTGAGGGTATGGATGTCGTCAAGCTAATTGAAGCTCAAGGCTCCAGCAGTGGCCACCCGGTTCGTCGGGTCACGATAACTCAGTGCGGAACCATTTAGACCTTAGAAGATCTCTGGAAAGTTTCTGCTGGCGAAAAGTAGACCTCGTTATCCAAATTCCTAATGACTCGAGATCTAAATTTTCTTGGACATACATAATATATTCATCATTGTTCTGCATATACGAGTTTTTCGTAATTCATTGCGGGGAAGGCAATTAAGTTCCTTCGACGTTGTTAGCCTTTAAATCCGACATCGATGCTCAAAATTAACACTCTCAGAGAAGCATATTTATCCAAAAATACATAACACTGAGGAGTTTCCCTCATACAGATGATGATCCTGTACATGAGTGTACATGCCCTCATTGAGATCAATGCGGGACTGATATTCAAAATGTATTTTAGAAGGGGAATTCTGAGCCTGGAAGATGGCTCCAGAAAACGCGCGCATCTCCGAGCTTCACTATCTCTTCAGGGGTATTCGTTTCGGGAAGTCATTCCAGTTCCTCAATATTGATTTATTGACCTCGCATCAGTGAGTGCAGGTAAGTCCATCGTGAAACTTCGGAGTATGAGTTCTGCCTCGCCACAGAAGGCCTCTGCAGGGGTAGTGGGAGAGACTGACAGAAACCTTATATTGTGATCACGAAAAGATGAAAAATTTAACGCGTTCAAATCGCCTGGTAGAGCAGATGTATATTGAGATATTACCATTACATGAGCTCTTCAAGGATGATGAGAATCGGAACCGAAAAAAAGTGCAGCAATCGAGTGAACAGCACCGAGAGATCAGATAAATCCAAGGCTACAAGGTGAAGCAGGGTAGGTCATTAGGGCTTAGAAATGTTCCACATGATTGAACGCCAAATGGTATAGATTCCGCAGATACCCTTGGAAGCACTCTCTAATTCACTGAACGTTTGAATTGACTTCCGTCGATAAATCCTCCAGATGGCTGAGATCATAGTGCACTACCTGTGGTGCTAAATATTGACAGCAACTTAGCCATTTTCGACCTAGGAGTTAATCTAGTTTATTAGCATGATTTGATTCTTTTAGCCGTACTACCAGTCGCTAATTAGCGCGAATGAGATTGTGAAATACTAAAATTGAAAGAACACGTTAGTTAGTATATGCCGAAAAGTTTATGTTCATCGGGGCCTATAATACAGAAAAAGCCGACTTCGACTCCCGATGTGAGACACCGCTTCTTGAACCAGCCGCTAGGACAATGCCTTCGTCCAGTTGTTTAGGAGGTTCATTCCGGACTTGGAAAGAGCCAAGAATACAGAATACTTCCGGTGCCATGATAGAAAACTTCCATCAAAGTGATAAAGGTATTCATAGCGAGAAAAACGACCTGTAGTGAAAAGGCGAAAAGAGGGTTAAGATTGCCAGAGCTAGTCTTTACCAACGAATAACGAAGGCCCAAAAACAAAAGCGGAAACGAACTTATGTATCGTGTCGGAGTCAGTCTCATAGAACAGTTCTCATAAGAGAGCCGTATTGATTGGATGACATTGTTCTCTCTATCGTCCTGGGGACCTTGAATCACCACTGGCTTGAAAACTCTTGTCGAAACGTCCATGAGTTGGAGGGTTGTCCTGACGTAAAAAAAAAGTCCCGACAGTGCGAGAACAACAAAAGTTTATTGTCTGCGTCATGTATACGTAGGTTTTATGAGCTCAAAAAGACCGTGGTGCAAGTTCCACATAGTTGACAACGTAGACGCTATAGCTTCGTTCGTTCATCATACAGCAGCGGTCTTCTTTTTCGGATCTGACTCTTGCGTCGGATCCAGTGTTATCTGTAAAAAGTGGATTGTCGACATTTGGTAGAAAAGCCAAGAAACAGCCAGCCACACCTGTTCGCCACCTTTCCCGTTTTCCCAGACCTGATATCTCAGAGCAGTAAGACCTCTCTTTTCCGCTGCCAGACGTTGTGTTTCTTTCAGCGATTTACGCACTGCGGCAGCAGTAATCTGGCTGTATTTATTGAATCTGTTAGGAATTATTAGTATTGTAGCAGAAAAGCTTGGATACAAAAGAGATGGAACATACGTGAAAGTACTTCTCCAGGTAGCAGCGCTCATTTGCTCTAGAATGACGGTTGAAGTTGAAAGATGATAATATAGGCGCCCATAAGCGCTAATCTGACCTTTCCGACTCTGACCGAGATCCATTCGATAATCTTGTAAAAAATCCAATCTCAATGTTTCTCTTGACTGCATCGATAAGGAAAACTCTGCATTCTAGAGCCACCTAACTTACTCATAGGCATTAGCGAGGAATAAATCCAGCGTCGAAGAATGGTGACAGATTTCATTTGAGGGGACCCACCCAGCAATTCTTTCCAAGTTGGCAAATGGAATACCTAATGGAATATGAATATGCAGGGAACTTGCCAATCTATATCAGGAAACCCAATGAAAATTGTGGTGCATTCTCCCGATTTTGTGACATTACATGCGGACAAAACTACCAAAATATCCTCAGAAGATGAGATCCCTAAGTCGATGAAAAGCTTTCCCATGATGGGGAGGAAATTCTTGGAAACCTTCGGCAAAATTTCACGCTCCACTCGTGTCCATCTCGACCCCATGCCCTCGATGCCACTGTTATGCTGATAGTTGAACTTAAACACCTCCTTCCTTGGCGTGACAACATCTTCTAATGGTCTTCATCTGCTATAATTGATGTCAAAGCAGGCACTGATATATGAAAAAGGTCAATCGGCCCCCATTGGGTTATTTTTGAAAATTGAAGGTGAGGTTTCTTCTCAACTATCCATCGACAACATTTTCCCTTATCTTTCCCTAGCCCTGGGGCTGCCTATCCATTTCCAAGATCAATTCGATCCTTACTCGTAGTGCGCTTGCTAGGCTAAGCGGGTTCGAAGGCATCTCTCAAAGCAAAAGTATAGGTATAAGGAAGATATCGGGGATTCATTTTATCCAGTGGACTTCTGGTTGACTTTTCCCACCTTCGAGAATGAGGGGACGGGCCATTGTCCTTGGTTATCAATCTTGCTCGGTTGACAGATCAAATCCGCTGCTTGACCATTTGTGCTCGCGCCGAAATCCAAAATCGCACACCCCGAATCTCTGTATATATTTCTCAATGCCGATCATACTATTGGTGGCATCACGCATTGGACCACCTGCAACTCAGATAAAGCGGGAAGAATGGCGACAACGGAAGGACGAGGAAGAGTAAGCAAGAAGAGTATGGTGCAAAGAAGATGTTCGGGATTTGTTGTCCAGAAGACTGCGAGTCGACTTCTCCCGAAGTCTTCGAGAGTCGAAAGACGGCAAAACTCTGCGGCGTAAGTTATTAGTGCATCACTTAGGGTTTTACTGGTGTTGTCCTTGATTAGGTTAGATATTCGATAGGATCAGAAAGTCCGCGGACAACACCCACGCCTTATGAATAACCAGTATCGGCGCTATAGCCAAGTGGTTACGGCGACAGATTAGAATGGAAACATTGATCTGTTCCTCTTTGAGGGCGCAGGTTCAAATCCTGCTGGCGTCGTCCCGAGTTAGCAATGACCTTCCTCATTGCAACCGATTGTTTCTTTTTCACCACTGCTGACCTCCATCAATCACCTAACTGTTCTTGTACCAGTTTAGTCGTTTTGCACACCCAAGGGCGCGGTCTGTGAGATATTAAAAGCATTGTTAAAAGCATTGTCTTGGAATTACTACGGACAATTTCTGGCAATGTGGATTGGTCTAGGCTTAGAGCAAGGTGGTTCCCGCCGCCACCACAGGTCCTCAGCTACCACCTTGATCACGAGCAGGAACACTCGACGCGTTTGACATTTGCACCCATCTCCATTCTCAAATGAAACCTAACTGATCAACATGATCCTTACTGGAGCTGAACTTATCAAACTGCTTGTCTGGTTTATCTACTACTGACTTCATCATCTAGGTTTGTGGCCTTTGTACCCTTTCATGCATATACATATGCTAATTATCAGGTCCATTGTAGCCTCGTCCACGCATCTTGCCAAGAAAGCTCTAGCACGAGGAAGAACTATATGATGAAGAGGCGTTATTGTATTCCGCCGAATTCCTCTATAGGAATGAGAGTCGTCATTTGAAACCGAGTGACAAGAACTTGGCGTCCGAGCTGGTCACATCCTATCGTACGCGGCACAGGATCAGTGCGGCAACCTCTCCTATATAAGCATGTTTAGTGACAAATTTCAAGTCCTGGGCATTTGTGATGGAATAATCATACACCCCCCTCTGACTTCAGAACGAAGAGTTCCGCCGTCTGATGTTCTCAAGAGATCTACAGCCAGCTTTCGCACTCCAAGCTCTTGAAGTGGATGATGTCGAGGAATGACTGAGGGGTTGAACGAGTCTCCACTCGTTATCATATGTCGTAACGGAATATAGGTTATTGTAGCCAACACTGTCTCAGACAAAAAGCGAATATAATGAGACAGCCATCTCAACATTTCCTATGACGCGAAGCCAACGTTGAGTAAATATGAAAAGATCAAATTACCCTGAACCAACCATTGAAATTTGGTTTGGACAGATGGTGGACAATCACAACACACGTGGAAGGGGGATTACGTGCTGCCCCATGAGATTTGAGATATGTCCCTTCTCTTGCAGCAGAAGATAGCGCGTCTAATCACTATAGGTGAGTCAGATAGTCAATGGATGCATGTCATATTGTGCATTTCATTCACAAAGCTTACGCCACTAAGCGAATGAGGCATCTGAACTGCATTGCGGATGATTGGATGCCTAGGAGGACCTAGTTGTCCCTAACGCAGTCAAGCAAGCGAGTATTTGAAGCAGGAGGGCGAGAGCACTCAAGCGAGATTAGAGATTGTTTCTAGCGATTGGCGAGATGAGAGTACCGCGAGGTCGCGCGTAGACTATGTAAACCTAAATTTAGTTTGTTCTCGAAATGAGAAGAGTACAGGAGCGATGACGATTGACATAAAGTTCAGGACACCCCGAGATAATTTTCAATAGTGAGGTATACGACCGGATGAAGGATTCTAACGGTCATTGATTCCTAACTGATATCTAAAGCCTCGATTTCGGTAAAGTAGGCTTTGATTCCCTTGCAATCGCAGTCTAAAATATGCGACGGGACACACTGAGCTTGCACTAAGCAACGCCTAAAATTCTTTGCGCGCTCAAAGGCGACGTGGCAAACATAGCTTTTCAATAGCAACCCAATGGCGACAAGAAGTGTGTCCGACTGTTTTGGCAACCCGAAAGGACCTCTTCGGCTAAAGCTCTACTCGGACGACTTCTCAACGATGTACCTTGATAAACCCCGTTGGTTTTAGATTTAAAAAGATTCACTTCGACTCGATCCACAACCAGACCTTACCGAACATCCGAACGAACTCTGAAAATCCTTCGTGGTGAGCAAAAAAGTGGAGACGACGAGATCTACAAGTATAGTAGTCCGATTATGCTGTGTGGGTGCGACATGCCATGCTTCTGGTCGAAGGAGGACCACATGTATGGCAGATCGACGGGGATTCTAAACCTTTTGTTGGGAAACGTTGGTGATAATAAGTACAAGTGAATCAGAATGCAGATTATTCACGAAATTCAATTTCAGTTCAGGCACACTAGTTTTACTTTAGACCTAGCGTAGCCTGTTGGTGGCCGAGGAATGTGTAGCTTCAATAATGCACAGAATGATGTAATTATTGTTGATGTCTCTTTCGAAGTATATGTTTCCCTCTTCGGTACATCCAGGTGCTAGGATGGCGTTGCCACCTTTCTGGCCTTCTTATAACCTCTATCTGTGGACTGAATGATATATTGCAATGAGATACACACCATTATAGTGAGGAACTCGCATGATAGCCCAACAACCGCATGGCGGTATGGTGAGATGGCCGAGCGGTCTAAGGCGCCAGACTAAGGAGACCAACGCATTTGATGTGTAGAAAATCTGGTCACATTGTGGCGTGGGTTCGAATCCCACTCTCATCAGACCTTTTTTTAATCATTCTTGTCAAAGGTACAGCGTTTTGCGTAATTCTCTACCCTTTCGATTTTTTCCACGGCTGTTTAATTGTGTTATTATTTCTATCCTCAATCACCATGAAATTTTTGTAGGCGCTTTTCCGCGTACTAACCTGGCTCACATGTTGACCTCCTCACAGACCTTCATTGATGTCCACGGACTGGTTTTGGTTTATACCTGTTAAATACGTTGACTCGTAGTCGTCCTTTCTATGAATTCACTTACGGCTCTTCGAGATATTTAATATCTTCTTCATCGAGTGTTAATCCATTGATAATGTTATCCTCGACGCGCTGGATGCTAGACATTCCCACAATCGGACTAGACACTTTCATCTTGACCCATGTCAAGGCGACTTGTGTCATCGTCCAGTCTTTCTTTTTTGAAAGCTCTTCCACGCGTCCGATGATTACTTTGTCCTCTTCAGAAAGCTGCGAAGGTGGATAGTCTTTGCGTGATTGAGCACGTGCAGTGGTGTTGGCTTCCACAGGCCGACAAAGACTGCCTGCTGCAACTGGCGCCCAGGGAATCAATCCAATTCCATTAGCGTTGCAGTATGCATTCATTTCTCTCTCCTTGACGGGTATTAAGCTTCAACGGGATCGATTCAGTCATGACCGCAGAAGAAACTCACCTCTTCTCGGTAAAGCAGGGAATACTCATTTTGCATGCTCACGAATTTTGTCCATCCATGTTTTTCCGCTACTTCATTCATACGCGCGAATTGCCAACATCGCATAGAGCTGGCCCCGATATATCTAACCTTTCTACTTTGGAGCAAATCATGTAGTGCTTTCATCGTCTCTTCCACCGGGACCGCATCATCAAAACGGTGAATTTGCAAAAGATCAATGTAGGACGTCTTCAAGCGCTCCAGAGAGGCATCCACGGCATTGAAGATAGCTGCGCGAGACAGCCCGGATTGATTCACGTATTCGGGTTGATTACGCCAATCGGAGTTTCCGAATGCTTGAAAACCAGCAGTGGAGCCAACGACACCGTAGCATTTGGTTAAAATGAGGATTTGATTGCGAGGTATGTTGAACTGCATCAGAAGATTATGATAATCAAGCAGGTACGGAGATAAAATCCTTCCGTTACAAACCTTTTCGACAAACTTCGCGATGATTCTTTCAGACTCGCCATTAGAGTACAGGTTTGCGGTGTCGATCGTGTTAATGCCACGATCCCAAGCTGCCTTTAAGATGGGGATAGACTTTTCTTCATCGAGGACCCAAGGCTGGAAAGAAACTAAGTAAGGATTACCACAATAACGTCTTCCACGCACCAACCACTCCGGAGACCCGTAGCTCATTGCCCCAATCTATGCAGGATTTAGTTCAGATACAGATCGGAAGTAAGTAAACACAACTAACAATGGGTACGGATACCCTCAATCCCGAGGCTCCTAGCTGGCAATATTCAACAAATCTGGCCATGGATTTCAAGCAAGGGGGATGATGATTTCAGTTTCAGGTGAAAGCCCTTTTAGTAGTGCGGAGAAATATGTTGCTACGGAACTCGAGCGGAGGAGTTACAAATCTTGAACACTTCCGCGAACGTTCCGTCAATACAATGTCACTTGTTCTTTGGAAGGTCAGGATATGCAGAATACATTTGCTCCGAATGTGACCGCAGCAATTTGTCAAGAGGTAAGGATACAACCCTCTCAAGTTCTGTTATAGATAATACCTTTACCTGGTCTTGTCTACTCATAAATGTACAGTTACTATTCGTTGTCCATTGAGCACGTTCTGCAAACATGAGTGGAAAGCACTTGAAAGAACTGTATCAAGCTACAGTGAAGGTTCGAGGTAAATAAAGTACAGCTAGATACAAAACCTTGGCGATCGTCATACGCTTCTACATAATTGTTACATGATTGTGCACCAATTTCCACCTTCTTCCTGGCGAGTTCTACGCTGTGTAGCTTCTAGATCACGCATTCGTTGCTCTTGCTGCCGCCTACGTAGTTCTATTTGGATATTCTCCCTCTGTTCCTCCTCTGCTATTTCGCGGAGTCTATCAGCCCTTCGAGGATCTATACGGTATAAAGGTTGGTGAGGATCTTCGGCAATCCGACGAGCATTTGCAAGGTTGTTCCAAGCTCGCATCTCACGAGCTTGAGCATCGTAATCAAAGTTCTGGATTATACCATCTCCCAGACCATATCCACCGTGATCTGTCGACATGTGGGGATAAATGGTGTCTGCATCGAAAATACCCATACAGCGCCAGCAAATGTGTGCACCACATCTACACGAGATATGATTACACCCTTCCGTCTTTTCTATCCAGACACTACACTTTGGACACTTTTTGACGCCAGTCATTTCCGCCCACCGAGCGTTTAGCCCTTCGTTATTCTCTTGATCATTCCTGGCCCGTCGTCTTTCATCGCAGGACATGCCTTCGTGGCTTTCATGGCACCTAGTACATATTTCGGAAAGACACGATGGACAGCAAAAATTGGATTCGTGATCGGGGAAATCTCCATCTGCACACCGGTAGAG